TAGATTTTACGTACAGAGTGTGTCAAAATATAAGGATAGAAGTTCGATGGTGAACGAGGGTTTATCAAAATAATAAAAGAAGTTCATACAAGTATATCTCCCATTTGATCTTGCTTTTAACTCGCATACATTTTTAAAGACTCGATGCTCGACAAGATTCGAAAAAAACATCGAAACGATCACTCGAAAGTAACGAACCTGTCTATTGTTTCCGTCCAGATAACGATCCCTTTTTATTGACGGATCGTATCTCGTCATGCGCCTGCCATCCGATAAGGACAGAAAACGAGACGCGTCGAGAATGAGCGAGACAGCAACGACTGGCTGGATGGTTCTCGAGATTCTCAAAGCGGCGCCGAACAACACGTCCGTGTGTCGACTACTAAAGTAACATAAAAAATTCCTTGTTTTTCATTGGATTTTTACGAAACTTTCACAAAACGAATTACCGAAAGTTTCACGACAAAAGTGCAAAATACAAAGTATCAGCAAAATCGGTGCATAACACATACTGTGGTCCCTTTATCAATTTATTATTACGAATTATTGTAGTAATAAATATTGCTCGAGAGGCAAAATAAAATAGGAATACGATTATATGATCTGTTTTCGTTGTTGTTCTGTCCCTCGACCACCTCCGAACTGGTTCCCAGATGTTATGAAAGACCCTTTGTGTATAATCCGAAATCGACGAAGATCTTCAGACGCAAGAGCTGAACGGAAAGAAAACCTTCCGAGGCTGTGTTAGCCAGGTATGCCCGCTGGCTCCGAGCCAGGTAGAACTGCCAGGTAAAACCTGTCCACTCGGTTGTCTTTTTCCCTTTTACGAGTAGGGCAGGTGGTTACAGCACTGGACTTTCGAACGCGGAAGGATGGAAGAAAAAAGAAAAAGAAAGAAGTTCGTGATGAAACACGAAAGAAAACTCTCCGTGGAAAGAACGGCCCTACTGGCTTCCAAACGAATGTGATTTTCCTCGGCTCGAAGTATTCCTCGTAAATCTCGCCAGGTGTTGTTCCGAGAGAATGAAGTTGCACGATTCGACGACAATATCGTAGGAAATAGCGAAGAAAAATTACCAGCTCGTGGAAACGTTTACGAATTCCGGGGCACATTTTCGAAACGTCTGCAAAACTAACTTTACTCGTATGTTGGTGTTTACCAGAAATGGGCAAATTCATTATCCGAATAAACAGTTTCCAATAACGAATAAAAGATCTAAAATGTACTTCGTCATTTTTAATTGTTTAAACGTGGAAATTCCATTTTTTATAATAAAATGATACTTCTTCTTGAATGAGTCGACATTTGGCAAACAATTATTTCATCTAATTCATTGTTTAAAACTCACGATTGCGCTCATAGATACTGCTGCTTTTCACTGTCTATTATTTGAATAAAATTGTGCCCAACTCTGGTGTATACCTACAGTGTGGCATAAAACGATAAGACGCGTCGAAATGTTATTTACTCTTAAACCTTAATAACGTTACTAACTTTAATCTTTCGTCTGTGTTCTTACTGAATATTACTTAACCCTTAATGCAGTAGGTAGCTTATAATTTTTCAGGGTACCGTCCAGAAATACGTTGAAAAATATGCGATTTTTAAGGTATCTAGTAAAATTAATATATGAAGATATTTTCATGTTTTCTTTTAATTAATTATTCCTATCCAGTAAACGTATGTTCCACTACATAGAATTATTTTATAAAAATAAATTGTCATTACGTGTGTTTAAGTTATATTAAAAAATGGAAAGCCGATATATCGTTTCAAGGTATTTTTCGGAAAACCCACAAAGCCGATATATCGGCTCTAAGGTACTAAAAGAGTTAAAAATGTTAAAATCGTGTCATTCCACGGAATAAAATATAAAATATACAAAATTCCAACAGGACATAATGATAGGACTCAGCCATATGATATTACATATAACTAGACTGCGGATTTTTAGAAGGTAGTTCATAAAAACAAAAACAAAAGTAGGAAGTTCTTTCTTCCCTTAAGTATCTTATTGGGTTCAAAAGAATATAGAAAACTTGTTGCATCTGACGAAACTTTCGTCCTCCATTGTATTTCACAAAGACCTATAGGCTATAAATGCATAAAATCCGCAGTCTACATATAACATTTCCACCATTCGAAAGACCCTATATATCTTGTCCCACACTATGCAGAGAAATCATATTTTCGCCAATTTTAAATTTATACACTGCCACGTCACAGAATACAAACAATTACTTATCACACGGAATTTTATACAAGGAATAATATTTTTCTTCAATTTTATATGATACGAAACATTGACACTGAATTCTTTACGTTCCAACCGCATCTACTGTTGCCATTATACTTTCAGCATGATATTTACACCTTGATATAAGGCATTCTGTTTCCGGTGGCTACTCTACATGTAATACACACACATTGTGTATGCGTGACATTAAATCCTGAGTACATTGGACTCTTTACTTGCCATGCAAAAGGCAGCTGCATAAGAAAGTGATACTTAACACTGTGCAACAATGATACAAGTATCCCCTTTATTATATCGGTTTACATACGTGTAGATCCACTGATAAAAATTACCCCTACTTCTCCTGCAACATTAGTAGCAGAAACGTATATGTACCTAACCCAGACTATATTTTATATATTTTTCAATAAAATACGTATGATCACAGAAACTGACATGTTAATAATCTAATTAGTATCAAACTCAGACCAGTCCTCGGGCTCGCCTATAGTTTCAGGCTTTAATTCATTATTAACGAATAAAAGATCAAACAACACTTCGTCATTTTCAATCGTTTAAACGTGGAAATGCCAATTTTCATAACAAGATAATAATTCTTCTTAAATGAATCGATATTTGGCAAACAATTATTTAATCTCATTAACTAAGCTCAGAATGATACCCTTAGATACAGTTGCTTCTCACTATTCGAATAAAATTGTGCCCAACTCTGGTTAGAGTTTGAGCATGATTTCTGCTTCAGGCATAGTTTTGGGCTTGGACTAGAGTTCGAGGTCGATTTCAAGGTAGAATTTGCTTGTGCGCCTCAACCAGGCTTCAGATCGATGTTCGGGCTTGTACTAGAACATGGATTAAATTTCGAATTTGGGCTTAGTTGCTGGCCTCGGCTAGGGTTTGGGATCTGCTTAGAGCACGAATCTACTTTCTGGGTATCTCCTTCAACATGGTGATGGGACTGACAAATAGACAGACGAGAGACCGATGTTCTTGGCTCCGAGAACACGCACAAGGAATCCTGGAAACTAGATAATATGTTGATGCGCACAGAAAGGACACAATTACGTCTGCCAGTCGGACTAGTAATAGGACACTGGTACACGAGGAAGCACTTGGTGCACCTGGGTACAGAACATGGAACCGAGCCGCTCGAGATGCAATGCATAGCAGGAAACTCCCCTACACCTAATTTCACATGGTGAGAAATTGCTGGCAAAATATTATTTCTTAATGTCAAAGGTGAAAGGAATAATAGACATATCACGAAACTCCAAGAAGTGGTCTATTAAGGACTTGCTTCGCTCGTCCAAATAGGACTTACTTTATGCAGGTAGGAATAAAATAGAAATTTCTTATCTCAATGCATAGCTTTAATAGATGAGAACGAAAGTAACATCAGTACGAGACTTTAAAGTTTTCATTTACTTGTGCCCTACTCAATTGCATCTGTTATAAATGCATAAAATTTGCCAGTCGGACTAGTAATAGGACACTGGTACACGAGGAAGCACTTGGTGCACCTGGGTACAGAACATGGAACCGAGCCGCTCGAGATGCAATGCATAGAAGGAAACTCCCCTACACCTAATTTCGCAATGTGAGAAATTGCTGACAACTACGCTACCGACACTGAGAGGCTCTATCCTTCACGCGACTTACCTGGAGGATATTTACAGTCGATGGGCTCTTGTATTTTTTTTTATAGGACGCCTCTCTATCGCGAGACCTCTTACTGCAGATATACCCTTGACCAGCCAAAGCACAGTGATCCACCAGGACTGAGCATTCAGTAAATCTAACAGTATTAATAATAATAATACTAGCTGGAAAATAGATGCCTTAAAGGCCTCGCATATAAGGCAGTTAAGAGATAATGTTGTTTGTTGTTTATTTCAAGTATTATTAATTTTTATGTTAATCGAACTTTTTATCGACAATTGTTATACAGATCAAATCACAAATGAAGGGGAAAATCCATAGTTGCTAGTGAGAAATTAAGGGGTTTGGTTTTCTAAAGGGTTGAGCTTATTTACAGATTCTGCACACTTACATGTGGTATAGAATGCAGAGGCAAATTATTATTCTTTATGTCAAAGGTGAAAGGAATAGTAGGCTCAACACAAAACAGCAAGAAGTGGTCTATTAAGGACTTGCTTCAGTCGTCCAAATATGATTTACTTTATCCAGGTAGGAATGAAATAGAAATTTCTTATCTCAATAAATGGCTTTAGTAGATGAAAACGAAGTAACGTCAGTACGAGACTTCAAAGGTTTTATTCAATTGTGCTACACTCGGTTCCATCTGCTGTAAATGCATAAAACTTGCAGTCTGATTATCAATATTATAATTTTCTAAAATATATATCTTATATGGTAACGACATATTGCAAAAATTAAAAAACTGACTAATAGGAAACTTGATTACTTTATAATTACATTATATTTTATATTAAATTGACTTTAAAAAATCGTCATCATTTCTGAGAAAATTTTAACTACTGTCGGTATGGATGTACTTTCGAGACTTGCATAAGAGATTCAGACACTTTCGTAAGAGGACAGCACGATACAGAGGTACTAAAGGTCAAAAATGAACGAAAGGAGCGCTGCGAGCAAAACCGGTCGACGTGTTCTTGACACGAGACTTATGAGAAAAATTTGTCTCCTTTCTTTGAGAGAGAAATTTTATGCAAAAGGCATTCGAATGTCACAACATCTATGAATAATGAAAAAATGAAAACTTACCCATCCGTGCTCATCTGTAGAATGCATTATCATATTCAAACCGCAACTGCCTTATCCAACCTCTAACCGACGAGCTGCAGGTTCAAGGTTTCAATTTTCAAGAAAACATCACTTGTCGCTTCGTAATAAACATACACTCACTGTCACAATGTTACCACCTCGTAGGATTTTCCTTTGCAGACAAGGACAATGATTTCCGAAACACTTTTCCGACAACATATTCAGAAACGAAATTGTCAGACCCCGAGCAGTCGCATGGCATGGCGACCGCGGTTACAACCCGATATACAATGGTGTTTTAAACGATACGTCACTCTTAACTTCAATGCTATTGGCTGATTTCAAAACAGTGAACCAATCACAGCTAACATTTTCTCACTACGCGGGAAAGTAAAGAAGACTATGCTAAAAATATCAGAAATATATTTAAATGATTCTTGTGATTTTTGTGGCAAATAAATGTCAGAAATGGTTTTAAAAAATTTTTTTAGACACATTTAATTGCGAATACTTAACATACGAGAAATGTAATATATATTTGCATCAAATGTGAGCCTGGTCACATGTGTACGAGGTTCCACATTGCCGCCATTATTTTGTTACTCCATCGATTTCAAATCAAATATCGTTACTATAATGGGTATAATGTGGATGTTTATGTCATTTCAAACTTTCATAACTATATTCATAACAACGAAAATTAAGTGAAAATTGACTTTCATTACTGGGAAATTATTAAGCAAACAATAGAAGGAAATGTTATGAATTAAATTATAAGAATGCATACAGCATTATTTGTGATAATACATACGTGTAACTGTACTTGACGTGCCTTTGAAAATGATTTTAAATGTTATTTCGTACGAACACGTACACATGAAGCAAATAGTATAAGAATATAACAGTATCTATTTGCAGAATGTTAAATAGTATATACATTAATATTTTATATTGATCATGTATTAATGGAACACATAACATTTATTTTAATACGACTTATTATATACTGTTAATGTTTATTAATATACCCCTTCTAGAAATATTTACGATATCTTAATATAATGAGCAGTGATGATGAAACGTAGTTGTTGAGAATTAAATTGTATAATAAATTTAATTACAAATTGACATACTTATAAATATTGTAATGTTATGTTAGATATTGAATACTGATAAATATTAAAATGTATTTCGAGGTAAAAGTTATGTTTCTCATTAATACCTGCCATTCGTTTGATTCTCGTTTCACGTATTGTAACATTTTTGTGTCAAATATATAATGCTTTCAGAATTTGTTTATGAACGATATTTAAATACAAACACTTGTAATTTACGTAATATAATGAAAGTTACGTATAGGAACGAACTACGTTACTCACGAACCCATAAGCGACGACATTGTGTAAGTACATAAACTGTATGTAACATACTGTTAAAAAATAAGTTCAGTGGGAGGGGAAATAATAGTAACGCGTGACGCTAAGATGGCAGCACCAGAAATAAGCGTGCATCAACTGGGCATGTAAATTATAGAATTTAAAAGTTTCGATGCATATTTTTTTCAATTCATGAAAGACTGACAAATGAACCGAAAATTGAAGCGCTATCCCCGTTTTCGAAAATATCGGGAAATCAAAGGCTAACAAATGATCGCTAAACGTATAGGCAAACGATGAATTATTTGAACAATTCGATAGGCGGTGGAGTGACTAGTGATTCTGGCCTCCAATTGAACAATGTTGAAGTATTGTATAGTAAAGTGCAAAGAGTTTACGTTAAGCCGCAACATAAAGAAGAACGTCAGCGTGAGCTTCGAGTTAATGTAGAAATTCATGCTGGTATCAGTCCTGTTTGTCGTAAGGTAACATTAAATACAGTGGTTACATTAACCTATATTTTGTTGACATAAGTCTGTACATTATCAGTATACTTATGTCCTTTGGTGAAATAATAGTTTTCATATTCTTATTCCGTTTATTGATGAATATTCTGAATTTGGAAATCTTCACACATATGTTTGAAGAAGTAGTAACATTATATGTTTATGTTACAGAGTTTATGTGTTCTGTTAGCAGATGATGATGATCCTTGCTTTCTTTATTCGTTATTTATCACTGATGAGGATTTCAAAGTCTTAAAGTCCCAACAGGGACTGTTGGTAGATTTTGATAATTTTGCAACTCAGTTGATATGTTTATTAGAACAATGTCAAATGCCACTAGCAAATTTATCAAAAACTCCACCGAAGTTTTTATTGTTATTGGCAGAAGAAAGTGGAGAATGGATATTAAAACTGGTTGAAACAAATAATTTCAAACATTTATGTCATTTGAGTCTAAATATATCACCTGCAAGTGACTCTAACTTAAAAACTCATATGGCTATGAAAATTAAACACTTAAAAGAAAATATTGTGCAGCGACATAGAGATTCGTTAGCGCTTGAAGCTAGAGTAACCGATCTAACAAATAAGGTGGAAACAAAAACAAAAGAATTGGAAAAATTGGAACAAAAATATATGGCAGAAAAAAGTCAGATGCAACTGTCTTCATCTGAACAGATAAGCATTGAAAAAGATAGGTGTGTAAAACTGTACTGTATTTCATAAAATGTATTATTATTAGATGTTTATTATAAATTATTAATCTGTTACAGATTAGCTAAAGCCCGATTGGAATGGCAATGTCAAAATGAGAAAGAAAAAGTGGACGTAGAACGTAGACACACAGAAATTGTAAAAGATTTACACACTGAAATTGCAGAAATACGTACACAGAATTTAACATACAAAGATAAGTTATCTTTTCTTGAAGCAACAAATGCAGAGCAAATGAAGCAGTTGCAACATCTTGAGAGAGAACTTAATGTAACACAAAGAGATTTAAGTTCACTAAAGAAGCAAAATTCTAAATTAGATACAGATTATCATGAAAAAGATAAAACAGTAAATAGCTTAAAAACTAAAGTAGCTGTACTTGAACAAGAGTTAAAAGATAAAACCATACTTATTAGTAAACACACAGAAATGTTAAAAACAGGAAAAGAACAAAAACAGCATTTGGAAGATTTGTTAGCTGACAAAGAAGGCCAGTTACAACGTAAACAAAATTCTTTGCGAAATTTAAGCGATGAATTGGTCAAAGCTAACGAGATATTAACAAAATTACAAAATGAACTTGCTTCTACTAAGTCTAAACTAAAACTAAGGACTAGCATTGCACTTGAGCAGGAACGGTTATTAGATACTAAACAAAAAGAAGTCGGCCAATTAGAAAATAAAATGGAAAGCTTAATTAAGGAAGCAAAAGATGCAAAAACAGAGGTTGAAAACTTGAAAGAACAACTTAGAATTCAACAGAATCAATTAGAAGAGAAAGAAAAACTAATTAAAAATAACGATAATGGTAAGAAACTATTTCGTGATACTTTAAAAAATTATTTGTATTGCACATGTGATATCAATTATATTATTTACATTACTATTTTATTAAAAGTTCTTTTAAGGTCTAATATGGAACGTCGTTTATTTAATTATTGTAATTACTTTCATATGTTTTTACAGTGATTAGTTGGTTAAATAGACGGTTAGCAGACAATCAGTCGCCATTACAAAATACCACTGGACCGGCGCCAATTAACATACCTTCTTCAATTCAATTGACATTGCCAAGATCAAATAAATTAATTACAAATAAATATGAAATGCGTACACCCGCACCTACCACGATGTCAACAAATATGTTCTCTGGTCTACCAATGAGAAATCCAATCGTGCAGAATCCAAATATCAACCAAACAACACGCATGTCAGCACGGTCTATGGGTGTTGGTATTACTGACAGTACAATGGGCATATCAGCATTTAATAAAAGTGGTCAAATATCGAGCACTAGTACTCCTATGGAACGGATTAATTCTTTGAACAAGTTATCCGGAAATGTCGCAGGTTCTTCTTCAATGCCAGCTGTCATAGAAAATAATAATTCATCTGTACCATCAAATGGTACAAAAGGAAAAAGTGCAAGTATTACGTTACTACAGGGTGGATTAAGAAGGGCTGGTTTGTCTGACAAACCGATTTTGCCGTCGGCATATTTTCCGAAGACTTCACATTAATCAGATACATTAATAAGATTGCCAGTATAAATATGAATTAATAATGTACAAAGAGACGTTCAAAGCAAACTGGTAATATTTCAAAGTTAATGATGACAGACAGTACAAAATATTTACTCAAGTAATAAGTATTATTAAATGAAGTTTTAAATTTCAAGTTGAAAGATACTGTTATAAAGTTATGCGTATCTATAAGAAAATAACACATACATTTATTTTCTTACATTTAAACGAGAATGCTAACAAAATGTATTTACAAGTATTTTTGTTGTAAGTGCATCTAAAAGTGTAGAATGCAAAGGAATAATTAATTCCTATGATTGTGAAGGACAAATCAACTTACACTATTACCATTTACAGCAATAAGTCGACAACAAATACAGTATCTTGCATTTTTGCATATGATGTGTACCTGTACTTATAATATTAAAATTTAAAACAATAATCACACGACATTTGTGACATTATTATTTTAAAAATCGTTTTGCATACTACTGTAAATTTGTCGATACATACACGTTTCATTATTACGTTGTATAAAATTTAAAGTACAAAGTGCCAATGATGATTGAATTAACACTTCGAAACCTTTTCTAAATTAAAATGTCTTATTGATCACAATGTCATCATATACCACAAAATTACTATTTTATTTTATGAATGGGTACCTGTACAAATTTTAAACAGGCTCAGAAAATTATGTAAATATTGTTTTTTTTTATAAATATTTTAAAACTATAAAGCATCAAACTTTAATATAATGAACAAGAGTATTAAGTAATTAAAATTAAGGGAATCAGTGTGCCTTATAATGCAAACTAGACTAGAAAAGCTCATTTTGTTAAATTTAAAATTTGTATGACATTCTTTTAGAATTAAAGTAGTCTTTTTTGCTTGATATGTACTAAAACATTATAATTTTGAACAAGTTAATATAAATATTACTAATGAATAAAGATAATATCATGTATTTATATTGTATGAGATATTTTTTAAAACATATTTGTCAGTTTTAATATGATACTTTGTACTTGTAGTGTTTTAGTTTATAGTTATTTGTAATCAAATCAAAATGGTAGTACAAATGAAATTACAGGAAATCAAATTTTACAAACTTAACGATTTAAAAAAATATGAAAGAAAGTGTAAATATATTAAGAATAAGGTATGATTAGCAAACCAGGACTAAGTATTGTTTAAAAATCTCATTCTGGTTTCCTATCTTATATTTTTTTTCACGCGAATTATTTCTAGTCTATAAGGTACTCGATATGATTCATTCGTCCCATTAATACAATGATGTACTTTATTAAGAACAAAATTCACAGTTTACATGTACTGGTTACCATTTAGAAGTATATGTAGTAAAAATGTACATTATTAGGCATTATGCAAAATACTTGCGTTAATAAACTTTAACAAAGGCGTATCACTATCTTAACATAACAAGAGTCAATATTTACAAATTCGAATTTTTATTTACATCTTAGTACATTCAACCAATTAATTGTTTTAGTATATATACATGCAAAATACAGATCTATTGCTTATAAAGCACAGTGATTTTTTACATTTCATAAATATAACAACAGTATTAAGAACAGTAAATATAAGATAATCTCATAGTTGTATGATCAATATATTTTAATACTTTTTGTACATAATGTTTAAATAAAATGTATATTACATAACAAATACATTTTTGATACAGATTTAAAAAACCAACTTTCTAAAAGATAAAAATATTTTCCTGCAGTAGGTATACACCAAAGCGTAATATAAAATTTGATTTGGAAATTAATTTAGTTTATTGCAGTGTAGAAATGAATAACAAAATAAGATAGAAGAGAAATAAGTCTCCTTAGCTTATGAGAAATAATGAATTTATAAACTAAGCACAGAGTGAAGAGCCAGATAATTGGGTGTAGAGAAATAAGCATCAAATACTCTAATTGTATAGTCTGAAATAAGAATTTTCAAGAAGTAAAACATTATATATGGTCCTGCAACAAATACGGAAAAATATTTTTACTTCTACCTTTGATTGTTTATGCATGTATATATAATGCTTATGCATTAAGTATAAAATAGCTGTCATTAAATTCCAAGAAAGTAAGTTTTGATACACAGAAACTGTACACGTTTTAAAAATAAAAATATGTAAGTTACTGTAAATTTTATTCACTAATTTGTATTTATTGTTAATCCACCAACCACGGATAATTCTGTACATCCCACATCTAAAAGCGGAAGGTCCATTCGTTTGCGCCTGCGTTCACACTTTGGACATGGCTTATTTGCATTTAAACATTCAGCATGAAATACTGCGTTACAAGCTCCGCACTAAAATCACATTATATGTAATTAATTAAGGTTTCATTTTTATTTATCGTGATTGTAACTTCAAAACTTACTCTATATGTAGACCCCATATCGAAAGGATATATAACCTTCGGATCGTTACAAATTTCACAGATAAAACCCTTCTGACTGCAAAGCCAACAATTTATAACATGATTTCTTGCAAATTCTATGATCTTTTGTAGTTGCTGTGCAAGAATTCCATTAGGTATGTCAAGAAGGTCAGAAACAGAGTACTGATGAACATGTTCATATAAATACTCTCTAGGTGTAACCTTCTTTTGCAGTGACTCAATTACAGGTTCACGACAAGTGAATAAATAGGCTCTTAATAAATTTAATTGAAGTCTTAATGACTGTAATTGAGCCATACTATTCACAGCCATATAAATACGTGGATTCAAGACTTTAAGATCTAGTAATGTTGGACAATCTTGTAAATATGCTGCAGCCTTATTGCAAATAGGATAACATTTTAGATCCCAATTATGAATTACTCTTGATGGAATAATGCATTCACCTTGTGACATACATTTGGAACAGTAATAATGGCCTGAATAACAGCAAACATGTGCTTTTGAAAAGGTCATGCCAATTGCATGTCCACATTCAAAACAACAATAATTTTGTGTGTCCAAACCCTTTTCTCTGGGAATTTTTCCCAATTGTTCATCAAAATTGATGTCGACCTAAAATCAATTAAACAATTTAGTATCTACATGAAAACTGATTAATAAATTACAATGGAGAGTAGTAAATACCACTAATGAATATAAACAGAATTGAATAGGGATATTAGAGATCTTTTGACTTAGAGATACTTAGATACAATTCTCCATTATAATATGACAATTTAAATATTACAGTATATTATAAAATAAAGCATAATATAAGCATATGTAGTATAAAAGTATGTATAAGCTATACCTTATTTTCTGACTGAGCATCTATTGGTTCTTTCTTGGGATATTTTTTTATAAATTCTTGAAGGTCTGGTACAGATGTGTTGCCAGCAATATGATAGCTTTGAATAATTGAATCGTATGTAGCACCATCACTTGGTGTACGAGGTGCATCTGCTGCAGGATCAGGTGAATTTAAGGAAGATTCACAGTCTTCAAATGATGTTGACCATCCCAATTTTCTAATCAATGAATTTCCTACTGTAGTTATAGTAGTATCGTGTGATGTTTCATGATTTTGTACAACATTTTCAATTACTGAATCTTCCATATCTGGTACTGTATTAGTTCCTACATCATGTTTTGGACTAGTGGTATTTGAAATTTGTTTTTCTCCTTCTTTTTCTGGCACACTTGGTTCTTCTTCTTTTGCTGGCACACTTGGTTCTTCTTCTTTTTCTGGCAAATTTGGTTCTTCTTCCTCTTTCAGAGGTGGAGTATCTCTTAGATGATTGGTCAAATGTGCTACACTAATGTTGCTTGATTCTTTATTAGCCAATATAGTTTGTAATGTTTCATCTTCTGAAATAGAAGCTATATTATTAAGTGCAATCTGTGATGAATTAAAAGATCCCAAGCTACCAATTGAACTAGCTATTTCAACTTCTTCAAAATTGTCATTATCTGCAGATATTGTCTTTGCAATATCAACTGCACTAAATATAGGACAAGACTTCATTGGTGGTGACCATATTCCTGCTAATAGAAGAGGCGTTGTTGACCAGAAATTTAAAGGGCTACTGTTACAGGCAAGCTCAAAGTGAATGTAATCTAAGTTTTCAATTAATCTCTGCGCTATTTCCACAAGATCCAAATTTCTGATGAATGCAGAACGGCTGTAATATGGATTCAAGGCTGAATTGTCTCTTCTAATAGAACAAAAGTAGTTAGCTAATAGTCCTTCGTTTAAGGCTAATCGTATCCAAGCTCTGCAATATCCAACTTCTGTGGTAAGTTGACTGAAGGCCTGTATCTGGTCTATGATTTGTCTGTGAGAGAAGACTAAGAGTGGACCCCAAAAGCTTGGCTGAGGCATAGCATCGAAATCTGGACCACTTAGAACTTCTGTTACACGATTTAAGAGACTGTCCTTTAAGCCGTGTAGAAATACAGCTTCCAATACCGAACACAGAGTCATGCTTTCTTCGCAATTGCCAACTGTACCTTCCTCTACACCTGGTGCTCCTTCCATATCCATCACACTGGTATTTAGCTGCTTCTGCAGAGAATCTCTGACCAATACATTTCTCTTGTTTGTCATGGAATTCATCGTCTTCAAAAACGAATTCATCTTTTCGAGTTTGATATGCCACAAGAGTTGCAGTTGTGTTATTTAAATCTATTCTTTCAAGCATCTTCGTGATTCTAATAGAAGGGAGTTACCTAAACGTTTCAAGGTAACTCGTTAGGATTGTCTTAAACCGCGGTAATTCAACGCAACAGATATCACATATATTACATTCGCACGATTCGAACATTATGGTGATACTGACAAAGAAACAAGGAAGTGCCGCAAGAAGGAATATAAGTCATAGTACGATAAGAAAGATTCTCGAACTTCGAACCAGTTGTAAAGCATTCCAGTATTATCTTCGTTTCTTGATTCCTGGTTTTCGTTCCAAATCAAATTTGATAGAACATGTTGGTTTTTTTCGGTAAGTTGATGATACGTAATTTTGGACAGTCACAACACTCGTTCAAGGTACATTCGTAATGATTAGTAATCATTTCCGTCACTTGCAGAATTTAACTTGTTACATCTTAATACGTATCTCAACGATAGATTGCGCTGCGATGTACATATATCAACGTAAGGTGCATCAGCAGGTGGTGAACTAGACATAGTGCTCATCTTTTATAAACATTGCATACATTTATAAGAAATATTATATTTAACAACATAATTAAGGTTATTGATAATTATAATTCAAATAAAATTGAAAATGATATAAAGTAAAAGAATATTTTATGCAAAATAAAGAAATAATATATACATTTCTTTATATAAAATACAGAAAAGTGAGCTTATTAATCTTTTCTCTAAGCCTTAAATAAGGCATGGGACAGAGTAATAACATGAATATGTGAACATTTCGAAGACGACAGATGCTATATAGGTATAATATACAATAATTCTTTAATGATAAAAGTATATACATATATATCAATTAATATTTTTACATTGATATATTCTTAATTATTTTATTAATTATTCAAATTGATTTTATTGTATAATAGCATTTAAGGAATACTGCGTAACATTTCTGTGTAGATATGAAGTTTAGCTGTCGTGTACTCTAGCAAATGTAATTAAGAATACAACATCGTAATTTTGGAAATACTTGATTAATTTTTGTTTTTTATTAATTACATACTGAACGAATAAGAACATGTTATTCATTAAATTTATAATCCAGCTAGTTTCGAACTTTGCGCGACATTCGAGAGAATATAATGTACGTAGCTGAGGAACCGTTAATCAGTTGTTGCTGCTATGTAGTTTCGTTACGTTACTAAATGTGTTGTTTTAGTGAACTACGACTCATTTAAATACTTCGTATTATGTACTACATTCGTTCAATATGCATGTTTCTTAACTCGATCTGTTACACTTTCCCGTTGCGATGAGGTAAGTGCATATTATTACGGCTATCACGACATTGAAAGTACTTTTAACAATCCTAGTTTTATTCTATGTACATATATGAAACACGAAGCCGTATTATTTATTTTGTAAGCTGTACAAAATATCTACGATACCTGCAGTCTGTGTGACACTAAATTGTCCAGTATCAAAAAAGTAGGATCTAGATTTAAAATTTATTAACGCGTGATGTCACACGTACTTTTTTGTCAATGCCAAACAAAATTGTTAATGATTACGTTAATATTGTGTCGTACATCGGAAGTTCCTTATTAAAATTAGATTGCAGTTCTCTAACCATTGATTCGATTCGATTCTACTTAATTACTTGATCTAAACTGTTAAAATGAAGTGTAACACAATCTTTAGTTTCCTTTTTAATTAATGAAACCATTCAATCGACTAATTTTAGTTTCTATTTGATCCCTTTTTTCGCACAATAATTCACGAAAATATAAATTTACATAAACATTCGTAGTCTAGTTATGAGCTACTATTCATGCATGAAAGTTTTATTGGGCTCCAATGAGTGCACCTTGCCATTGGACGCAGCAAGACTGTCGGAATTCTGATCGGGTGTCAAACGGATTACGAAACGAAAGGCAGTTTATGAAACGCATGACGGTCGTTGCTTTAGATTGTATGTATAAGCAAGTTCTTTCTCGCTATACCGTTCCTATATTTAGATGTGCACTTAGCGCATCTCAAATGTTGGAACAGGTATATCTTGTGTGAATGACCGAATACGCATGATGGGACGATGCGTGTTCCCGGTGTTCCCCGTTTGACGGCGGTAGAGTTCTGGTATGAGAGCGAGGAGAGAAAGAGAAAGTACAACAGAAGCGAATAAGCGGAAAGAAGCAAGCAGATTGAACACGAGGACAACGAAGCAAATAGTAGAATCAGGGCCGTACGATCGTACCAACAAGCACATTGCCTCCCTGTATCAAACAATTTCTTCAAGAAATCCAAACAACAGGATTTTGCACGATGACAGGTACACAGGATGATCCTGAACGAGCATGAAAACTCGATCAGTTTGAGTAGAAAGTGCTCCTATCTTCAATATTTACATACATAGTTATAATATTTTAAAATTTGTCTGCTGGCTTAGTAAGGTTGTAATATTGACGTGAAATGACCTTTAAAAAAATAAACAAAAAAAAGCAAACGAAGCGTTACTTATTTAGAGTTTATAATAATTAGTCAGAATGGAATTATTGAACTTGAATGCAAACGGTGCATTAATGAATCAACAAATCATATAGGCAGGTAATATGATACAGATTTAGAACTGTAATTTACTGTTTTTTTAGTGATTTTGACGGAACACTAACATGGCGAACTGTCTATCAAGACAAAGGCTAAGAGAATTCAGAGAAATTGTAATTTATTTGATACTTTAACGAACCATGAGAACGCATCGGTACTTCAAGTCAGATTACTTCCGTTCCGCGAGGAAAGGAACAATCTGTCGACTCTTGCATTTCCCTTTTACATGATATTAGAAACAATGTGCTTTCCCACGTTTCACCGGCGCGCAGATTCTTTGTGTCGTTTTGTATACAATCTAGATACGCAATTAACTAACATTAGAAACGATGCAAAATTATATTTCACTTTATTACGTACCGATATCATACAGATTTCAAATGCCTTGTTTCACATCATTCTTTCGATACAATAACCCCGTAAATCTTACTCCGTTAATTAGTAACCACATTCTACTCCATGAAAACTTCGTCCGATTAGAATACTCTTGTCAAACTTCTTCCTGATACTTTCGCCTTATTACTATCAAATGCAACGGAATAAAACCTAATAAAATAAATGTTATTAAATTTGATAGATTGAACCACCCAGTTTATTATCTACCAAATAAAGTCGAACGAAGGACTCATGCTCCCCTCTTCGTAAGTTAGTCCGATATAAATCCGCGTTTACAAAAAAACATCCATAGTCTACTCATCAAGTTACAAGTGGTTCAAGACACGTTTATTAAAAACTTCAATAAATCTTATCATCCTGTATCTTGGAGAGATTTTTTCGATCGTACGGATACGCGGACGGAAAACACAAAACAAAAAGAAAATCGTAAAAAATTGTTATCACCAGCAGGGGGAAAAATATCAAAGCAAACGGCCTTTATTGACGGCACTGAGCGCTCAGGTGGTGGAAGCGGTGGTGGGGGGGAACTAGAGACCGAGGGTGTCGGTCGTGTTCGGTCGGTGCGCGCGGTACAGTGGCGATTCGACTGGTGGAGCGATTGGGGTGGTGAGCGTTGCTGGTTCGTCGGTGATAAGACAGCGCGTGCGTCTTGTTTTCGGGCATCGGTCGCGCAGTTGCACAGGAAGAACGCCTGTTTTTCCACGATTTCGTCGAATTCTAGCAGCAACTGTGCGTTTGCCCCGAGTTCTAAGTCGAGATCGTACAATCGTGTGTGTCCGCGAATGTCGCGACGCTGTTATCGAGCGATCTTCGAGTGCACGTGTGTCATGGATGTCAGACGGTAGGCGTCGTCCGCGCGTTTAATAGCCGAGAGAGGATCCTCCGTAACATGACATCCTGTGCATCGTCGACGACGGTTCACGATATCGAAACGCGTGAACGAGATTCGCTGGCGAGCAATCCGAGCGAGCAACTGACCGCGAGTAAACCAGTCTCTCTGGGAGATTTGTCCGGTGTGTGCCTTGACCAGGGTGCGCTGAATAATTGATTTTTTCTCGGAGGCAGTGCACGAGGTGTCGTTTGCCCGCGTACGCAAGATCAACCTCGAGCGATATAAATGAAGCTGGACATGCTGCCAACGAACACGATCGAGCTGCAGGTCGGTTGCTCGTCGTCGCCACCGCGGGAGTATGAGACGACGAGTAAGAGTTTCATCCTGGAGACGATGCCCGGCGAGTCGCATACCGAAACGGCGGCCTGCCGTTTCTTGGAGACGGGGGTCGTTGCACGGTGTCAGGAGGAGAGCAACGAGACCACCAAGACAGTGCCCGAGGCCGGCAACAGCGGCGAGTGCCCCGCGAAAAGGAGGATCGAATCAGCTGGTGGCGGCAGGCCCGTCGTCAACAATCGACCGCCGCCGCGTCACAGTTTCTCGAAGAGCTCCGCGTCCCTGCAGAGTCTGGTGCGTCGAAGGAGTCGTAAAAACGGCGGCGGATCCTCGTTGCCATTGGAGATCGATCTGTCCACGTACTCGGCCCATCCGATGGATCCGACGTGTTTGGTCGACACGGTAACCAAGGAAAATGTAGCCGGTTTCCGTAACGACGAGGAGACCTGTATCACGAGCCGAACGTCGACGCTCCTTTACGCGTCCGTCGTCGCGCAACCGTCATCCAGAGGCGTAGGGAATGTTCAGGATGTGTCCGGTACGGTGAACGTCGCGAACGTAGCGACGACCACCACCACAACGACGACCAGTAACGCGAGTAACGTTACATCGTCCGCGAGCGGAAGTCATTTCGGCAATACCGCGTCCTCGTTGATAAGGACGACCAGTGTGATCACGGCTGGACCGTCCACGTCCTCTTGGAACACGTCCACGGACCAGGAGTCTGATTACGTCGTCGATCCGGTTCAGGGAAACGCTTACCACAAAGGACAGTTTCTTGGGAAGGTAAGGACTGTTGATAAACAAACCGACACCTGTCGTTCCTTCGTATTTACATGCTCTTCTCTCTGGGGTAGAGACACTGGCACGGAATTACTGTACAAGGTTGGTCGTGTTAATTAGATTACGGAAGTTTATGCGGATTCACAATTTCAATTACTACATAATGTCGAAATATTAAAAAGGAACAGAATTTTGAATTCTCTGCTAGAACCTTTATTACGATAATAGTGACGCGTAATAGTATCAAATATGATTAAAACCTATACTTGCATTCCAAAGTTAAAAAAATGCTATACATGCATACATCCGCCGTCTAGCGATAATAATCGTAACCTATTTGTTACACGTATTCTAAAGGTGTGTATACAGGTAGGAATACATTTTAGTTTATATAGGGTGGTGATTTGCGCTATTTTTTCTGTTTGGAATTACAGATGAGCAGGGAGAAAAGTTGAGTAAGTTAACATATTCACCGCCAGATGTGTTGCACCTGACTTTCATTGAACGTAGGGTTACTATTCATCGTAATGACGGTCAACCGTGACCGTCAAGGCGTAAACGAAAACCTCACGTGTTGGTTATTGGTGATCATCATGGCGATTAATTGTGTGTAGAGATTTATTAGATTCAGGGGGAAAATGTTTTTTGCAAATGCAACGGTGCATCTGCAATATTCTATTTACATAAATCGATACTTTTCATCAAATATTATAGTTGAAAAATTTATTACGAACTACATCAGTATGTCAGAACGTTTTAACTCCAAAATATGCATCGAAGTACACATTATTTTCTATTTATAAACCTGTATTTCAACGATCTAGTTTAAACCACAAGTTTGTTATCTCGTTGATAAGGACTCGAGTACTATAGGTAATTGTTTCTTCAAAAGGAAAATTGTTTTCCACAGTGACATATCTGTCTCTTACGCCAACCACTGTGGAGATTGTTTCTGAAGTAACAAAGATCACCCGGTGATCACTCCTAACACAAAACGCTTTCTGTTTTACTGAAAACTGCGTTCAACGTTGCAGCATAAATACCTACAATAGACAGCGAGGACTGATTCGAAGTAAGCAGAGCTTTTATTTTTAAAACTTTCGCGTAAGTTTATTCGAATTCTCTAGTAGGTTTCTCTATGTTCTTTTTCTTCATAATTGCTACATTATTCTCATTTTCTCGTTAGATAAATATTTCACTATATTCCGATAGAATAAAAATTTCATTTAATAATTTCGTGATACGACCTGAAAAGGGTTGTCTTATTCCATCGGTTATAAAGGTCTTAAGATCAGTAGATTTTTCAATTTCTTTGCATAATTTGTAGCTGATTGTTTGTTTCTTACACTTTCAATTAATTGTTAACATAGCATGGCATATAGTTACTTTTCAACAAAAGATAAAAAAAAGGGTTGTAATCAGAAGAAGATAACTTCTGATTCATTAACAAACAACTGGCTTGTTGTTTTCGTCCACCTTCTGGCATGCATTTCCTTCAATATTCACTTCATAAACTATGATATCACACGACAATTTAAATATCAAAATGAATGATTTAATTTACGGAATCGTCTATGCATAAGCGAAACTGAACAATAAAATGAAGTATCTCGGGATCCGTAGATAACGCGTTGAGAAGATTACGTCTGTGTCACAGTTGATATTTTCCTGGGAACAGCCAAGTGTCCAATCGTTTGCGAACGGTAGTAGATCTCATCCTGTCTATGAGTAACTCTGTAAACAAGATGACACGGTGCACCAGAAAATAGCAAGAAAATTGCAATAGTAATGATTTCACCGGCAGAAATACATAAATATTTCTCGCATTACGACGGTTGTCAGTGTGTAACAAGACCCGAAAATACAGGTTAACGTGCGTTGTCAGTTAACGTTCAAGCGTATTTACTTTGATATTAAGGTTAGTAGTGACTGTTTACGTCGTGCCTGCTCTAATTGCTTTGAAAGTTACGTCCGACATGTTACGCACATTTCTTCTCGTAATGTAACTCAAGTAGGGGATCCATTACAATTAATGTTTGTCCAGTTGCTGTGTATTTGAAATAATTTTTTTCACTATATTTCGTTTGACTTGTTATTTAACGCAACGATTAGTGGACGTATCGATGAGTAGTCCACTATTTTATTGTAATTAACTGATAACATAATTGAAATTCTAAGCATCTGACGATCATTTTCTAATTTAAAAATGGCGGAGGATCTTGGAGAATGAGAATGTATATTACTTGAGAAGAGGTTACACCACCTTGATGTGTTAAAAAAATACCGCATTTCTGAGAATTTATTCTAGTGACGAAAACACTTTCTCCGATCAAAATTTCTCGATAAAGATAGGATAGTGTACAGACTGTCCCGTCTAAATGTAGCCACTTAAATTATCCCCTGCAGCTTTGATGGTACAAAAAATATTTTACATGCAATTTGACTAGTATCAAAGTTCGAATACGCTACAAATAATATTTTTGTCTCAAGGTTATTGTTATGCATAGTTTTTAACGTCACCGATAGAAACGAGTGATTATAGGACCTATGTTGATTAGACATTTCTTACTCCTCTCTGTGGGTACTATAAACCCCTAAAGTTTTAGGCCCTTTTTATTTTTTGACCGAATGTTCGATATTTTATCCGAAAAATTGTCAGCAGTTGTTTTTTGTGCGAGTGCTTCCCCCATAGCGCTCGTAAGGGCGAAGTGTAGGAAGTGAATCATTCGCGACACGTTTTCGCATAGATACCAAGAATCCTAATGCGAAACGTTCAGAGAAGTTCTGTCACCATAGCGGAACTATTTCCAAGAAATACGAACGACGTAACGAAGAACCGTGAGAAAGAAAAAAAATAGTCGGACCCGTTTAAATTAGCCACGGGGATACTTCCACCGAGAAAGTTTAATTTATACAATTACGGAGGATTTGCAAAGGCAGTCGAGATTTCATGAACGAGGGGACTGACTTCCACCGTCCGTAATTCGTAACGTAAATATGACGATAAATGTTAGTACAATGATGATTATCTTGTAAAATTTGTAAGTATGCCCTTTTCGTGTTTCGTTTAAAATTTCTTTTATTCTAAAATTAAGTATAATGTGATCACTAACATTATATGAACTGGTTTTCGTTAAATCGATAAAATCTTTTTCGTTATTACTTGAACTACCAGTGTTGAATTAATTATATAATGTACAGTACAATATTGTCGATTTCATAGAGTAATGATTCATTTAAAAGATCCTTAATTTTGAGTGTATGTAACTGCAAAAATTAGCTTTAGAAGTGAGGTGATTCTATCTGAAGGATAAAAATATATGTTGTTATAAAATTATACTATTTTTACAAGAGCAATGTCACCATTGAAAATAGGGCTGTTTCATTTAATTTTTAAATAGTAAGTAACACACATAAACAATACTTTACAAGGATCCCTCAAAACCTAAAGACTGTTAGCTAAACTGTGAAGGAAACGAATTTTTTCATTGCTAAATGGTTGAGTAATTAAACATTTTCTGCCAAAAAAAAATTCAAATCGATTTTCTGAAAGATTTACTACTTTTTTTAGTTGCATCACTCTTCTAGTAAATCGACGATATAATGTAGTATAAAATAGATATAATAGCATTGTAGAAAGCAATAGCAATTTCAACCAAAATATCTTTACGATTTCAGTAGGTAGAGTTGTAAAACAAGTCCGTCATATTTTGACAGATTCGGTAGTTCCGGTGTTAATATTGTAAATGGTAATTCGTTGGATAAAAAATATATTTACACTGTTGCATTTCAAATTACAAGAGAGGGGAACTGTGCAAGAATGTTCAGTCTTAAACTATTCTCGTCACGAATTCGTGTGGAAGAATTAAAGAGTATACGTTGCTGTTCGCTCAGAAGATGTTTGGCATATAGCAACGTATACAGCTGTTAAAGAGACCAAGAGAGAGAGATCCTCTTAATGAATGCGCGGTTAAGTGTGCGTTGACATAGAATTGTCACGTTCATTTAACACGCATAACAAGCGTGGCGAAGTACTTCGCAAGATTTGTGCTTGTTAAAATATTTAGCCGTGACGATGGATACGAAAACGAATCGAAACCTACGGTTAATGCCAGAAAACAGTTTATGTGACGCTTTGTATTACGAGCACATTTTAAACATTTATGCAATGAGTTGCAAATTAATTACCAGGAACGGAAGCTGCATAGAAAATCATTAAAAGATTTATCAGTTTTGAAAGAGAATTAATATTTTATTAAACGTCATTTAAGTCTTCATTTTCTTGCGTTCTCTAAAATTAAAATATTTTATAAATGCGTAGTATTCATATTCGAGACATGAGAAATTTATTGTTGCTTTCAGTAATTGAGCTGATTAAATTGATCAAAGGTACACGGCGATCACGTAGAGAAGATTATACAAAAAGGTCATGTGATTAGGATGACCTTTCGATTATTAATAGAAAAGATTGAAAATCCATCATCCCTGTTGCAAATTAAAATATCAGGTTGAGTTATATTTACTTCGAAATGTTATGTGATCGATACGTTACTTATAATTGAAGTGTGGATATCTGTGCATTTGATAGTATCCCTTAACTTCGAAAATTCAATAAAGTGAAGATTTTAATAAAGTAATAATACTATTTATGTGTTATTACTAATGTAGTAAAGCCTCTATGTAGTACACAATTCAAAATTCTGTCTAATTTTAATTTTCAGATACTACTATCGGAAATTGTGAATTTGCATAAACTTCCGCAGTCTACTTATAGAATATTATTCCCCGTTAACTGGCCCACGTTGATCATAGAATTCATTGTATTTTTAGACAATGAGTTGTGCTATAAATGCACAAAAGCAAAAATTTCATCGTCAGCAACGTCCACTTTTCTCTTTTAAGTTCATGTTAGTCCAAAGTCCTTGAAAATAGAGATTAATCAATTATACATTCTTAAACATTATTGAACGTTATGATTATTGTTCCGTTCAAGTATTTTTTCT